TATTTGATTTTGAACAAGTGTACTTGAATGTAGTAGAAAAAATTGTCAAACTTGCGCGTACAGACGAACAATTAAAACTTTTCACATAAAAACTTGTCATAGAAAACTTGCTCGTCTGTAAGGGGCTTATAGATGTAAAAAAAGCAAATGTTTATCGAGATTTTGACAAAATTTTGTCAAGACTATGCTAGTGGCACCTACCCTGTGGTTTCGTCACCACTTTGAATTGAAAATAGAAAGCTGATTGGCTCTTGCGTATACGAAATTTCCAACTGAAAAAAAGACAACCAATCAGCTTTCTATTCTCAATTCAAAGTGATGACGAAACCACAGGGTAGGTGCCACTAGCATAGTCTTGACAAAATTTTGTCAAAATCTCGATAAACATTTGCTTTTTTTGCATCTTTAAAATTAACGTTTTAAGTTAAAACTTCGGGAGAATGTAGTCAAATTACCGGCGTTTAAACCGATGTAATTTCGATGCTATTTTTATTTGTAATTAGCAAGATATTCAGGCCGTAGCAAACGTTGTAGTATATTTTAGTAAGAAAACTTGCCAACCTTGTCATAATATTAAACTAAGTAGTCTTACGTACACGCGCGAGCGCCACGAGAACGAAAACATGTCTGGGCTGCCTATGATGCAGATGAAGTAATCAACGTCGAGGAAGTACTGGAGGTCGTGTACCATTGCAGTAGAAAAATATATCGCCTGAATAGACAATGGTTGAGTAGCCAATCAGAATGTAGGATTTGTAATAGACAATAGTCGGGTGTATACTAATTAACAATTAGTCGCCGAAGGCAAAGTGATTACAAGCCTATATTGTTTTAGTATAATTTCAGTATTGAAAAAGTTTTATTTATAAATACAACTGAAACACATGTTTATAAAGTTTTTCCAAAACGATTTTGAGTATTTTCAGTCATGTTTTTTGGGGAAGAGCAATAGTAACTGCTCAGACTGCTCTGAGCAGTAACTATTGCCTCAGAGTTACTGCTGAGGGAGCCAATCAGAATGCTCAAAGGTCATTTTTTAGTACTGAAAATATACTAAACACTTTTAGTATACATCCGACTATTGTCTATTAAAAATCCTACATTCTGATTGGCTACTCAACCATTGTCTATTCGTGATGGTGAACGTTTGGGAAAAATTCGCTCGCGCGACCGTATAAAATTGAATTAATTAAATTATTTTTCGGTGTAATTGCGGTGTGTCGATTATTTTCTCGAAATTAATATATTTAGGTACAGGGTGTATACTAAAACAATTAGACAACTCGCCTTCGTTGTCTATGAGCGAATAGTCGACTATTCGCTCATAGACAACTCGGACTCGTTGACTAATTAGCGAGTTTACGTTTCACTTTTTTCGCGACGGCGACGTCATGGGTTCGCGGCGTCCGCGTCCAGGTAAATTTTAGTTTCCGAATGATGGAATGGGCGACGACGTCGCCACTATTTCGCGCCAAATTTAAATCGCCTCTTTCCAAAAAAAAATAAAGCAGTCTCGAAGAAAAAAAGAAGAATACAATGCTAAATTAATAACCATTATTGAACTATTGAACGGAAAAAGAATGCCTAGATGGCGGAACATTCGGGAACACCTTTTGTACTCCCATTACGAAGGTTTTATTGACGATGAAGACTTTTTCCTCTTCTACGACTTGCATACAGCCAAAAGTCCCGACCTACCATATTGGAATTACCGCAAATTTGACTTGGATAGATTAAGTGATGATGAGTGCATAACAGAATTTCGTTTTCTCAAAAATGATATTTACCGTTTAATTGATCTGATAAGGCTACCACAAGAGATTCGATGTTACAATGGGCTAAAAGTAGATCTCGTTGAGACCGTGTGTATATCCCTTAAACGTTATGCCTATCCTTGCCGGTACTTGGACATGATTCCTAGATTTGGTAGACCCGTCCCACAATTGTGTATGGTGAGTAATGCAGTGATGGACCACATGTATTTAGAATGGAGTCACTTACTCACAAACTTCAATCAGCCATGGTTGTCTGCTAACAAAATGGCGAGCTTTTGTAATGCTGTGTATCAAAAGAGTGGTGCTTTGCAGAACTGTTTTGGTTTCGTGGATGGAACCGTTCGCCCAGTTTGTCGACCAGGAACAAACCAAAGATTTTGTATAATGGGCACAAGAAAGTCCACGCAATCAAGTTTCAATCTGTGGCAGTTCCTAATGGACTTGTGGCTAACCTCTATGGTCCAGTAGAGGGTAAGCGACATGACAGCGCCATGTTGGCAGAATCTGGGTTATATAACAAACTGCAAGAACTAGATGTTCTACCAAATGGAGACCATGTATGCATTTACTGGGACCCAGCTTATCCTTTTCGTGAACAATTACAAAGTCCATTTAGGGGAGTAAGAATAACCCAGGAGCAACAGGAGTGGAATACTGCTATGAGTATAGGTATGTGGAACGTTTTTAATGAAGCCGTCCTGTCTGGATTAAACATTCTTATGCCAATGAAGAAAGTTAAAATTTCCCTAACTGATGCTCCATGGATGAATCACACATTGAAAAGCCTTATAAGAAAAAGACAAGGCGTTTACTATATATGGAGTTAACTCAACCGAATTTAAATATTACAGAAACATGGTCAATGCTGAAAGAAAGGCATGTCGTGGAAAGTACTACGAGTCAAGAGTTCAAAAACTGGGAAAAGAAAATCCACAGAAATGGTGGAACGAGGTGAAACGTATTTGTAATTTTAAGATCAAGGAAAGCGTGTCCAACTTTACAGGCGTTGAGGAATTCTCCAACTTAAGCCCTAAAGATCAAGCAAATAAGATTAACGCGGCATTTCTAGACCCACTGAATGAGTATAGGTTACATTCTCCACTACCCAAATACCCTTTGGAAGAGTCTCCAGTTTTTCTCAATGTATCAGAATTATCAGTACAGAGAGTCTTATCAAAACTTAAGGTGAACAAAGCAGCTGGTCCAGATGAAATCCCTAACTGGCTTCTAAAGAATATTCATTTATCCTTGCATTTCCTATTACCCTTATTCTCAACGCATCCTTTCGAGAGCAGTATGTTCCTTCCCTTTGGAAAAAGGCAGATGTTATTCCAATGCCAAAAATTAAGATTGTGAAACACCCGGAAAAAGATCTAAGACCGATTTCGCTTACTTCGTGCGTTTCTAAAGTGGCAGAAGAATTTGTGGTAAATAAATATGTAAAGCCAGCTGTACTAAAGGCGATTGATCGGAATCAATACGGCGTTATACCTGAATCATCTACAACAATGGCACTTATTAATATGTTACACCAATGGTACACTGGAACAGATGGAAATGGATCAGTTATTAGAACAATTCTTTTCGACTATCGAAAGCCTTGATTTCATAGACCATTCAATCCTGATCAAAAAGTGTCACAATTAGATATTCCCCACAGTGTCGTAAATTGGATTATGGATTTTCTTACCGATAGATTCCAGAGAATTAAGCTGGGAAATTCCTGCTTTTCGTCGTGGGACTCTGTTCCATCAGGCGTCCCTCAGGGCACAAAATTAGGTCCCTGGTTGTTTATTATTTTAATAAACGACTTACATATATCTCAAGAGGATCTATGGAAGTATGTTGACGACTCAACAACATCTGAGATAGTCGGGAAAAACGGCATTAGTAAAGCTCAGAGCCTAGTAAACGAAATGTCTTGCTGGTCTGAAAAAAACAGGATGCAACTAAACTCAGAGAAATGCAAAGAACTGCGCATTACGTTTTCCGCAAATCCCATTGATCTGGATCCCTTGGTTCTTAATGGTAAAGAATTAGAAGTCGTGGAAAGTATAAAGCTGTTGGGTCTCACTATAAACAGTAAATTGGAATGGAATGAGCACATCGCGGTTGTGGTTAAGAAAGTGAATAAAAGATTATACTTTCTCTCACAATTAAAACGTGCCAAAGTGAAATCGAAAGATTTAGCATTGTTTTCACTTCATGTATCAGATCTGTTGTTGATTATGCAATACCAGTATTCTATCACTCATTACCACAATATTTAAAGAATGAACTGATACGGTTGGAGAAAAGGGCAATTGCGATAATTATGCCCGATACGCATTACCTTGATGCTCTCAGATTGTTAAACATTAAATCCATGGAAAATCATCACGAATATTTATGTGACACTTTGTTCCAATCTGTAATGTCCGATGAAAATCACAAGATTCGTCATTTATTGCCTGGAAGATATGATCCAGGCTATCTTTTAAGGAATGTAAATAATTTTAACTTGCCTCTAATTAAAACTGAAAGGACCAAAAACTCTTTTATCTTTGCTATGTGCAACAGATTCAATAATAAAATTAAATAGGTTTAGGTCTACCTGACTTTTAGATTTTAACTGAATTTTATTCTGCTTTTTAAACTTTTTGATGTAAGTAATATCAGTAGTATCATAATTAATTTTAATACAAAGGTTGTAATCATTACGTAATTCAGCTTTTGCTGCAAAGTAATTTGAATAAACCTCTATTCTATTCTATTCTATGAGCAGTGTCAGGGTCTCAGTGGAGTGGATATTTGGGGATATTATCAACTACTTCAAATTTCTTGACTTCAAGAAAAATTTGAAAATCCAACTTAGTGCTGTAGGGAAAATGTACATTGTCTGTACTCTACTTCACAATGCTAGATGTTGTTTATATGGGTCCAATACATCAAAATTTTTTGAGATTGAACCCCCATGCATTAAAGAATACTTCATATAAGACAATGCAGATGTGTTTGGAGAACCCAACTTTTTAACACAATGAAACAAAAAGACATTGCCTGATCTACACAGACATGCATAAAGTTATTGCACAAAATATTACATTTACACTTTTAATAAAACAACAGTAACTAAAGCATTTACCTGTTAACTTTCAAACAATTTTTTCCACTTTATGAATTGTGAATAAGTGTAATATAAACTAAAAACAATGAAACAATACTGTTATTGCTTTTGTGCAATGTTTTGCATTAATGTAAGCAAAGCAGCATTTTGAACTTGCATTTGTTACATTAACTGCTCTTGTTGCCTTTGCTGGGCTACCATAGCATTATTCAATGCACTTGTCAGGGCTTCTTGTTGGGCAATCAAACTATCCTGTTGCAATTTTCTTTCTTCAGCTTCTGCTCTTTTTAGTTTCATTTCCTCTCTCTTAAGTTCTGCATCTACTTCAGCCTTCATTTTAAGGTAAGCAATGGTCTCACTACCACTTGATGATACATTTCTTTTAGGTTTCTCACCTTCATTGTTGGTTTCAGCTTTCCGTTTCTTGCTAGCAGCCAAAGTTTCCATAGATAGCTGTCTCATTTCCACAGCCTTTGCTGTTTCCATATCAGCTTTCTCCTTCTTTCCAGCTTCCTATCGGTCATCCTCTTCATCTCTGTTTTTGAACCGTTCTATAATGTCTTCTATGGAAATTTCAAACTCACTGTGATCTGGAGCAATCCCAGAAGCTCTTTCTTCCTCCCTTAGTTTTCTCTTTTGCTGTTTCTCAAGCAAGTTGTAATGATCACGAACCGATTTTTGGGTTACATAAAACTTTGGATTGTCAAGGTCATTTAATGAATCACTTATCTGCTCCCAAATTGTCCCTCTTTGTTGAGATCCCTTTTTATAGTTCCATGGTTCCAGCAAGTACATTTCTCGAATGAGTATGTCATTGTTTTCATCAGTCCAAGACATGGGTTTCTTGCTATTGGAGGAAAAAAATCTGAATAACCCTAGGGAACTAATACACACAATAGCCTGGTACTAAGGATAAAAAATACATGACACTTTGGAATAAAGGTCTGGACCATTTGGACTCTGAAAAGCCTTAAAAAAGGTAAAGAAGTCTCACAATCCGTGACAACTGACAAACCAAGCTCCTAGTCTTAATACTGATATGAAATAGATAAATATATTTATATACCTGCCATATACCGTCTACATATTTGCATACCTTCTGAAAACACCGCATTTTATACTATACGAATTTTTATTCATTTCTACCAATAATTTTTTTATTCCGAACTGCTTTTTATTTTAATAAATCCTAATTCAACTACAGTTTCGTGAAGATTGATGTGGAATTAAACACAATACACAGCACTAAAACATCACATGAGAAGCTTATCTTTAATATATATTTATGCCACAGAAATGTGTAGAAACCGAAATTTTATTTAATTCAAATTACAATACTCTGATTAAGCAATAAAGTACTCAAATCATACCTCTTTGACCTCGTCAGTTGATCTGCCATTTTGGATTTTGAAGACGCCTTCACCACAGATTAGCTATATACAGATATGAAACTTCTGTGTTTTTGCTGATTGTTTTGTGTCCCACGCGCAGCCAGCGCGTGATGACTTCCGGCGGCGAGCTTGGCAAGTGTCATGAGGGAATTTAATGAGTAAAACGCCGATTTTAAGACGAAAAATTGCTTTTTTAAAAAACCCTCGCTACCTATGGCTAATTCTGGAATAAATTCTTAAAGAGAATCGGTATATGTATCTTTCATTAATTGTGGAAAGGCAATTGAGCATATCTATAGCTCAAAATTGACTTTTGAAAATCAAAAAAAGCTGGTCCGATTGATGCCGAATTATATTTGCATAGGCACTATGGAATCAATGTACTCTGGCTGAATTCTTTGCATTGAAGTCCCATATCTACACGTAAATATTATTTATCTGAATTTTTCAAGTTGCTAACCGCCTTTTAAATCTGTTTTTTTAAAATAATATCAAAGCATAGAGTGTTTGATTGCTAATTTTAAACCCGAAACTCAAAACATAATATGGCGATGTCTTTATTTTTTGTTTTCAGAATTCCGCTAAAAAGACCCGTGTATGGTCATAATAATCGCACATAAGCAGCAATTTGTAAACTTTGTGTGAAAAATAGTCCAAGACAAGGGTGATGAAGTTATTTTTTTTATCGCCAAACGCCTAAAATCGCTAAATACGCTGAATTGCTCGTCAAATTTACATGCCATGTTCGGCATGTTGTTGTTCATTTCAAGTACACAAAATCCTTTTTACGCTCCTATCATTTCGTTTTCACATTTCTATTATTCCTATAGATATTTGTTAATTCATTTCATCTTACCTTCTGGAGATATATTGTATCTAAAGCATGTATTACATGTTTTGTAAACTCAAAAATAGCTCAGCCAGTGCTAAATTATTGCACAGCTTTCCATACGGCAAGCCCTGCACTCCTCAGCTATATTTTTTACTCTTTTTGCCAGCATCAAATAATTTCAGAAACCAGTTCTTAGCTCAGAAGAGCCATTTTATCCATCTTTTTGAAAATTTTAAGTCAAATGGGACATGGCCCTAAAGGTTTTGTTTAAATCAGCATTTGTTTGTCAAAAATTCGATTTTTCTATCGATTTACTCATTAAATTTCGACATGACACTTGCCAAGCAAGTAAAGCATGCGCACGTTGGGCAGAAAACCGTGTGACTCGATTTGGCTTCAGTTTCATATCTGTATATAGCTAATCTGTGCCTTCACGCAATAGCTTTTCACGGCGTCACCATCACGCGACGTGGCCAAAATCTTGTGCACTCATGCGCAGTTCAACAGGGACGTTAAGCATTTGTAGGACGGGAACACGACGACGGCAACTATCAATACAATGCTTAATTGAAAAGAAATGAATTATTAAATACCTATGCGAGTTTTAGACGTGATCTACGTTCTGTTTACAACGGCAAAACGTCGTTTATTACGTCCTATGTAGAACGTCTGCATTTCAGGACCCAGTGAGCGTTACCTCGAATTAGCTCTATAGAGTTGTCCCTAGACGTAAACACAATGTTTTCAACGTCTTATATCTCATTAAAATGGTACAGTTAATAATATAGAACAACGCTTTACCATAACATTTATTTAAAGGAGTATTCCAACCACGTCGTCGTCGTGTTGCCGTCCTACATGCTTAAAGTCCCTAATTTCTTAGCGACGGCGTCGCAGAATTTGCCATTTCGTAAACTCGCTATTGTTAAATAGAAACACCGTCACGCTTCTCGACCAATCGGCACGCGCCTACCATGAATGTTATATTATAATTAATATTTATAAAAAACAACTGGCTTATATAAATAACATTTATATATATATAAGCCAGCATAGCTTAAGTAAGAAAATTTTGTAAACTGGGTGTCGAAACCTTGCGAAAAACACGATTGCAACGAGAAAAGGTCAACATATAGTTTCAAAATAAGACTGATATTGGAGTTTGCAAGTTGCAACATTAATCATTATATATTTAAATTAAGAGACAATTTGTTTGTGAATAGCCTGTGATGTTATTTACTAGTAAGTATATTTAAATAAGCTTGTAGGGAAACATGTGGTTGGTTTAAGAGAGCAACCTAACCATCTCTATCTCTTTCGAAACTAATCTGCCTTTGGAAACTAACCGTGCCTTGTGCAAGTTAAAACACTAAGGGAGAGGAGTGCATGAAAGGAACCACCCCCCTTGAAGTTTCCGTGCAAACTCCAAAATTCAAAACGTCCTTGCTCAACGTACTCTGGTTTAAATCCTGTTGGTGTTAACCAAACCAAAATTTAACATAGTACTTTTCCGTAGTGTCTGGACGTTACTTCAAATTCATATCAATTACAAGGCGATGACATCCGGAATCATAACTCGCCTTGAAAATTTCGTTATTTCAGTCTTCATTATTTTTCATCCTGTCATTTTTTTACTTACTGAAACTTTTTCTTTTGTTCCACGATTAATTCTTGATATTTGAAGTATTCGTTATGTTATTTCTGAGGTTAGTTTCATAACCAACGGTGAGTTCCAATACATACAGACAATTGTCCTTAGAGAGCTTACGCAAACAGGACGGCACCTTCGTAATGGCGTGTAAGAGATGGCGTTGCTTCCGGTTTTGCTAACCATATATATGCATAGTTTAGCAAAAGCGGGAGCAACGCCATTTCTTGCACGCCATTACGAAGGTGCCGTCCTGTTTGCGTAAGCTCGCTTTTAGAAATTCAAGACGGTAATCATCACCAGTTATAATGGAAGGATTCGGAAATGAAGGCAGATCAGCGAAAATAATTTGGATTTGTTCTGATTCGAGGCTATTGACTACAAAATTGAGAATTGAATCATGCCTCCAGGTAAATCGGTCTCAGTAAGAGTTACAGCAAGCAATAACATGTAGCAACGTTTCACGATAAAGGCAAAATGAGCATTCAGAAGATGAAGAGATTTCCCACTTCTTGAGGTTATTAGAGTTATTTAGCATGAGGACGTGAACTTCAAAGACGACGTGAAAATGGCGAGTAAATGGCGTTGCATGTCCATATTTGCATGGGCTTGGGTTCACAGTTTGGACAAATCTTGTTCACTTGTGATAAAGAGAATTTTGAAATACTGGATAAGAATGATCCTTGACAGATTAGTTGAGTTTGTTTTCTTGATTTTCGTAAAACGATTTGATTACTTCCTTTGTTGAGCTGTATTGGTCATATTGAATGTTAGTGTGGTTATTTGTCATTTTCCAGAGGTGCGTTATTGATTCATTAGGTGATGCTTTAATGCTGCTCGAATCGTTGTTGGACATTGCAAAATTTTGTTGATCCAAATTCTTGGTTGTTAAATACACATTACTCAATGCTCCAAAAATAGGTATTTTAAGCTATTTACGGATATATTGACTGGCGATGAGTCCAGGTTTTCTGAAATCCAGGTTAGCGGAAGTGTTGCTACAGTTAGATGCCACGAGAGTTTTGATAAAACATATTTGGTGTAAATACGGACTTTGTTTTTTTGGATGTAATGGTTTGAGGTCGATTTCTTGCATTATACTGCTTAAGAGGCTGATTAGTTCAGATTTATGTTTATTAATTGTCATTTCAAAATCGACGTGAATAATTATAATATATAATATAACTCGAAATTTACATACCGGGACAAAATCGTCAGGTTGGCTACGCCACTGGCTGTTATGGGGGAAACATCAGTAAGATATGCCGGACTAAGTTTATTTAAAGCTTTATGAACGAAGATTGCTGTTTTAAACATAACTCGATATTTGATGGGTAAGATTTTAGACTGGATAAAAAGAGGTCTCGATGGAGATATTTTAGATTGGTCGTAAATTAACCTAAGGATAAGTTTTTGCAGTTTCTGTTTTCTACAGATGTGTGATGATTTTCCCTAAATGGTACAGCAGTAGTCGGTTCTTGATTGGAAGAAGATTTTGTGGAATAGAAGTCTTTCATTTTGGAAATAAGAAAAACATAGTTAACCTAGTTATTGAAACATAATAACATAGTTACTGAAAAACATCCATGCTTGCTAACTCGAGCACACATCTTACAAAGCACTTGCTAACTTTCTAAACAAATGTCAAGGCAACAAAAGACATCTATGAAAATAATCCTCCGAGGAATAAATGTAAATAAGAATGTCTTAGAGTAAATCAAGTCGTTTACTGTGGACCATGCAAGACATCGGCAAAGCCCGACACACACCGGACGTGAACTTTCAGTTTTCAGAAACATGAATTAAATCTGGTAGCAAAATCTATGGAGGCCAAAGCAGTCAAAATTCATTATCATTGGGTGATCTACAAGAGCATTAAAATTTATTTAATTTTCGCCCCGCGTTTCCAAATCACGTCTTGTCTGTGTGGGCCTTAAAGGCGGTGTTACACTATGCAACTTTCCTTGCAACCTGGGCCCGGTTGTATAAAAACGTCGCTAACTTTAACTATGATCAGCGCTAATCACAGCAGTTAAATCCTTAACTATGATTAGTTAACTACACGACTTAACTGCGTTGCACAAAACATAGTTTGTCGGATGATTAACTAATCACGTAGTTAACTTGCGTGGAGCTTGCGCGGGGTTGTTAAACAGAGAAATAGCATGAAGTATCTCGAAATTATTGACCGCTGTTATTGATTTTGAACAAGACTGTGGAAAAAGTTCAAAATTGTTCAATAGAATATACATTGTTTGGAGACCACATAAAACTACAATACAACTCATTAACTACGTTAAGGTAGATTTATGCAAAAAATGGTTCCTTTCTCATCACATGTCTATTGTATTTTGCACGGATAAACCAATAGCAATCTTATAATTAACATATTTTTAAAGTCAAGGTTGATGAGCTTAGCAAGACGAATGCCACTGGTAAATTTGGCTAAAATACAATAGACACGTGAGGAGAAAGGAACCATTTTTTGCATAAACCTGGATAATAACACAGTTAATGAGTTGTATTGTACTTTTATTTAGTCTCCAAACCATGTATATTCTATTAACTGTGCGTTTTCTTAGCATTTTAAACACTCTTTACAAAGTAATATCCATTAAAATTATAATTGCATTGCATGTTGCAAGGAAAATTGCATAGTGTAACATAACAGCCCGTTTCCACTAAGCGATTTTGTTCGCGCGATCTGCAAATTCTGTAACGTGATTTAGCGTTTTTGCAACGACTTTTTTTCGAGGCTCGGTTTTTTTACACTCATTCATTGACCAAACGAAAGCGTTTTTTTTAATCCTCAAAATACATTTAATCCTATCTTAATATATTTTAACCCTGGGTTAACTAACCACTAATTCTGCTTTGAACAACACAGTTTTAACCCAGGTTTAACACTAACTCTGGGTTAAATTTAACCTGCTATTTAACAATTGACCCCTGAGGCTCAAGTTCCAAGGAGACCAGAAACTATCGACGGCTACCACCCTATTGTGGTGGATCGTATGAACCAACCAGTGGTCATCTTAAAGACAGTTCTAATAAACCCTTTCGATAATTACGCCACAACGTCATCGTTTTTAATTTAGAACCACCTTAACAAAGAGGGATTTCAAGTTTTACTCTCACAAGCTATGTGGAAAGCATAGCATGAAAAATAATTTTTAATTTTGACCAATAAGTGTAGAAATAAGTCGTAACACTAAAACGAGGCTAACAGGCCACGACCGGCAGCCTCGTTCTTGTGTTATGGCTTATTTTCAAACTTGTTTCTCAAAGTTAAAAATTATTTTTCATGCATGTGTTGAAGAAGGATGTTTCCACGTTTGCATCTTTCCACGTAGCTTGTGAGAGTAAAACTTGAAATCCCTCTCAGTTAAGGTGGTTCTAAATTAAAAACGATAATAGTTAATAATTAACTATTTCCGGTAAAAAGGTACAATATGATTGAAGTACAAAAATTAGGCTTAGCCTGGAAAATGTAAACAAATTTGCCTATTAGTTCAAAACGAACTAACCTTGTTACGACCAAAACAAATTTCTAAGTAATCCATACTACGACAATATTTTTGTAATCGTTTATTATAGGTATACATTATGAATGCAAATATAAATGGGGGTTCAGTTGATTTAGACCATTCTCAATTTTTAATTAGTAACCTAGAAATTTATTAAATTAAAGTCAAAAGGATGACACAACTTAGACCAATTTCATTGCGTGTGCGTGAGTGTTCCAGCTCCTCCACCAAAACCATAGCCTTTTGGACCAAATTGCTTACCATAACATCCTTAACGGGAAAAAAAATTATTCCTGAGAAATTTAAAAATCACTTTAAATTTCTTTATTCCATATTAAGATTCCATATTATCAACAAGCAACATGCATTTCCTTTAGGGACTGTTTACATGAGCCCGCTCAGCCGAGAAAACTAAACAGGAAGTTCGGAGCTTTTCAAGAAGTCTCCTAAAATATTTTATGAACTCCGTAACGAACAAGCAAATGCTAGTTACTTATCTTCTCAGCCCTAGTTTATACGTTTATAATCGCGTCCAATACAATTTAAACAATAGATATAACGAGATGACAAAACTCATTGAGCTTATTATCTCATTGTCTATTGTTCGAATTACATACAACGCGACGAAAATTCATATGTTCATATGAGTCGGGCCAGCCCGGTTTAGGGCGAAATTCCAGCACTGCCGAGCTAGCCCGGCTAAATCGGGCTGGCCCACCTCATATGAACAGGCCCTAAGGAGCTGTTCACATGAGCCTGATTACGCGAGGTTTAACGAAGCCGGTAAGATGATTCTGAGGCATTAAAATACGTCTTTATAGAACTATAGAACGACTACACGGCTACCGGGATCATGTTATATACCGGTACTCATTTCAATACCTCAAAATCATTTCAATTCCGCTCAGCCAAAATTCAACGAAGCGTGAGATGACTTCGAGGTGTTAAAATGAATATACAACACGATTCTTTCGTGTAGTCATCGCAACAATAGCATGTGCTTTTTTTGGCATCAAAAAGACAAAATCATCTCAAGCTTCGTTAAATCTCGGTAATCTTCATTGAATCATGTAAACAGTCCCTAAACTAAAGGCTGAATTATTTTTAATCGAACGAGATGTTTTCCGTGATTATCTTTTAAATTGCGAGAGGAAAATGAAGAAATTAAGCCTACTTGGAAAAGGCCTATATAATAACATTTCTCAATCGAACAGGGCAATTTAGTTTCATTATTCTCTTTCTAGCTGTATTGGTTTATTTACACTTTTTTACATTTTTGCAAAATTAAAAAAAATTATCAAACGTGTCTTTCGGATGAGTACACCATATAAATATGCCTTCGAAAAACTTTTTTGTTCACTTTCTTGACAGGAATAAGGCCGGTTTTCTACTAGGAATGATAACTTACCGCGAAGCAACATTTTACTTTTGTTTCAAAACATATCGAACAAATTTCTCAAATACAAATTAACAAAAGAAAAAAGTCGCCTCGCGCGAAAAAACTCCCTAGTGGAAACCCGGATGATTAGGGTAACTATATATATATATAAATTTTAAAAAGCTCAGCCTAAGATTTTCATAAAAAACAAAATATTACCTTGGCAATATATGGCTGACTCTCGACTCTTCAGTGAACCACTGTCCAGTCCTTTACCGCAGTCGAAACACCGCAAGCAACGAGAATGAAATGACTAAAAATGAACCGGTGAAAGATTAATATCATTAAAAGGCATAATAAAATATTTCTGTCATATTATGACCATGCAACAGCCAGGCAACACTTTCGTGATCTCCGAATGGGGAAATTTACATAAACGCGACCATCTTGTTTTGTTCTTAAAAATTGTTGAATATAAGTAAATAAAATTCTATAGTATTGTAATTCGTAGGATGTATACCACTAGTTGTAAAAAAATTACTACGAAAATGTAAAACCTCAGACCGCATTGATAAGGTTTCAAATAGTGTTAATGAATTTGTCCTAAGATGGTGAATATAGAGCTCTAAGGCAAAAACTGTAGCACGGGAGACGATAATTGGGGGGGGGGGGTACATATTCATGTACTCATGCATGTTAACGATCTGTAAAGACAATGGATTTGAAAAGAAATTAATCTTGCGCAACTTGAATATATGAATATGTGCCCTCCCCCAATTATCGTCTCCAGTACGCCACTGTATAGCATTGAGGCTCTGAGCAGTAAATACAACCTTACGGACCGCGATTTTGATCAGAATTTATCAATAGAGTCAATTGTCTGTTCCCTATTTAACTAAATGTTGAACTGAAAAAATTCTTCGGTACCGGGCTGTATTAAGATGAAACAATTAAGTTGTAACTTTGAACGGCGATAGTTTTTCAACATTCAATCAACGCTGAAGCAGGATTTTCATTCAGTGCAAAATGTCGCGCAATCGATTTTTTGCGATCGTTTCTTTTGAAATGTATTGCAAAAAGTCGATCGCACAACGTTTTGCACTTTGCACCAAATGGAAATCCGCCTTAATGTTGGACTGCTCCCTCGAGCTAATGTAATAAATTTTCCTGGTTTCAAAATGGTTTTATTAAGGAATGGTCACTTTCCAAATTTGCTTGATTACACACAAAACAATAATATGCGGGCAGTGCAATGTTATAATAAGTAACAATGTAATTACGTCATGACCTCGCTTTCAAGCAAATTCAGTAAATAAATGTAATAATTCATCAACTATACTCTTCAAAATGAAATACTTCTGTATGTTTTTGTTCTTTTAATAACGTTAATGTCTTCGTTTTGCTTTACTCTATACTCAATTCCAACACAAAAGGCATCGCGCTATTTTACCACATTAAATTCCTTGTGGTCGCACGCGTGACGTCCACGTAAGTTCTCGAAATTATAACAATAAAGGCACGCGCGTAGGGGTTTACGTAATGCCAGAATCAATGCCTTTTTTGCCTTTTCGACAAAATTTAAATACAATATTTCACGACATACCCTTCCTGCGGCAAGTTTCTTTTCAGCCGCGTAAACTTTCTTTCCACATCTGGGACAATCATCCGGACCACCTGCGACGGGTTTGCCGTCAAACACGCTTGTTCCTTGCGGCTTTGGCGCGCTTGGTGCCGTAGAACCAGGAGCACTTTTTCCAAAATCCATTGAAAGCACCCCAGCACCTTGGCCATATCCATAGCCATGCAGCCCGAAGTTCTTCCCATGGCAGGATTTGCAATATGCTTTGTCTGTCAATGTAAGTGAGATTCAAGTCAGGTATTGAATATATAGTATGGAATAATGAAAAGACTGGGGTGAAAAAATTACATTCTTTCACCGGAGAAAAGAAAGTTAAAAAAATTCTTCAAGCATTTGGCAGCTATAGCAGAGCTTGCAATTGTTAACTATGTAACATTTTCTCTTTCCCCATTTTCCCTTCTTTTCTCTTCCTCTCAACCTATTTCATTTCATCTTAAATTTCTGCCAATTTCAACTAAAACAAACGGTTCGTGCCCATGGTCCGCTATTTTTCCACACCTGGGCCTTCAAATTTCCCGCTTTTAAAGACATTCCCCATCAACCATTGATGAAGTTTTACACGACCTGAGTGGAAGTTACTATATTTAAATTAAGATTAGAGGTTATATAGTATTGAAAGTCTTCCAGCAAGGAATCTAGAAAGTTATTTTAGAAAGTTTACTTATATTCTAGAGTCATCCTGCATTTTAAAAGGTCATATCTCCATTAGTTCGCTTATAAAATTTAGCATATTAAAATCAAAAGTTGGTATGAAAAATAAAAAGAACTGCACGATAAGTTGTATGCAATTATCGTTTTGACGAATTCAAAAGAGTGCCTATGCCACAATCTTCATTCGTATTGTTCAGGGTGGAATTTACAGCTTCACCTATGTACGTGCGTTCAATGAACACTGTTCATACGTATACGTTCAAATACGCTGGGTAGGGGAAGCGTATACGACAAATCGCATAGTGTAAATGGGCCTTTACACAGTGCAAATTTTCCTTGCAACTTGCAACGCAATTGTATTATCAGGAGACGTATATTAGTGAAGAGTCTTTAAAAGGTAAGTTTGCGTTCAGACTGAGTGCCCAGCACTGGTGTCCGTCACTTTTTTTGGCGCCTATATTAAACATGACTACCTCCAGTGATAAAAAGGGCACTGTACTCAGCATCTTTTATGAACCAGTTTTGACTTTGAGCACCGGTGCCGGGCTCGCAGTCTAAACGCAACGTAATGAGTGTAATAAATACAAAGGTTTCGTAATTGCCAAATATACAGTACATCTCTCAAAAATAGAATTGCATTGCAAGTTTTAAAAAAAATTGCACCCTGCGACAGAGCCTTAAGGTTTTTTTAATCAAAAACACGTTATGGGACCTTTTGAACTTTTAAATATACAAGCTAGCCTATTTTATAGTAGCTTACCCTCGTGCATCGTAACAGTTGTGCTGTCTAAGAGCTTATTGCATAATGTGCATTTGAGACACATTTTGTGAAACTCGTTGCTTCCTTCTGCACGCTCAGCATGATAAACAGGTTTGCCACACACTTTGCAACGATTTCCACCACCAAAACCACTCTATCAGAGAATGAAAAGAAGTTTAAATTAGAGAAACGCACTTTCGGCCTCGGTCATGCATCATTAGGGCAGTCGCTCCCCACCCCCCTAATCACTCAAGAAACCTATATTTCAAAACGTTAAAATCTGGGTAGAAAATTGTTTGGGATTCATGTTTAAGCCCCATTTACCCTACACTCAGTTTTTGGTACAGTACAAAAAATGGTGCTGCCAAATATAAGCCCTGTTTACACTACAGTCAATTTATCGGCACGGCACCTAAAATTGGTACCCGTACAAAATTTTATTAGTGTTCAGCCTACCAAAACAAAGGCCGAGCACAGATGAAATGGGTACGGGTACCCATTTTAGCCGCGCCGTGCCAATAAATCGAGTGTAGTGTAAACGGGGCTATATATTGGACTAAATAGATTTCAAATACTGTAAATAGATTTCATCCGTACCAAACCTTAAATGAGGCTTTATTTATTGATGTTGCCCAAGAGAAAGTCAGATCTGTACTGGGGTTCATCCCTTCAATGCGTTAAAAAGGTTAATCAAAAGTTTTCTCCCATTTTATGCGTCTAGATGGGGGTTCGGGCCCGAACTGTGCCAGTATTATATATAAAAAGCTCAACCTGCCCAGGCGGCCTGGGCTGTCAGTTACACATGCTATATATTTAACTACTATACCATTATACCGCGATATAAAATATATAGTCAAATATCAATGGTTGAGCGACAAAAGTATTTATTAACAATTTAATATATATTCACATAAAAATAATTCTGTCAGCCATTTTGCTTTTTCTTTGGTTTTGCTACCCTCCGTATACGAGCTGATATACGGTGGGTATAGCTCGACCAATCAGATTGCGGAATAGCTCATATATAGTGAGTAGCTATATTATAAAAAGCTTTAAGCCATGATGTAACAATAGGAATTTGGTGGACAGATGAACGTAGCATAAAGTTTGCAAAAAACGTAAATTCTCATACAATACAGGAATAATTAATAATTAGTAATTTGCTTCGTTGTGTGGCGAACCATATAAACTCTTGTATAGCAATTTTTTCAGTAAGACAAGAAAGCATATAGTAGGAGAAGAAGAACTCGTACGAAATACTACGTCAGAGCAATCGGTCCTATCAAGAAACACACAGCACAGGCAGACGTTTTATCGTAGTATAGGGGGAAAATTTTACCGAGTAACAATCTAGTTTTGTGGACTAAATTTCTTATTGCCGTAATGCCGTTTAAGCCGAAGTTCACATACTCCATGACCATGGACTCTTTTTTAAATGTTGAAATCTAAAGATGGACCATTTTAGTATGAAGAAAACCAGTGAGGCAGTCCCATTTCACTGTGCGGTCAACAGTCCCCAATTTTCGTTTGGACAAAATTGCTGATTGTTTCAACTTTCAAAACGACGTTTACTCTCGCGTTGAGTGAACCACTCGTCTCGCTGCACCCGGTTAGACACATATATTGCGCTGTAGCCCGTATACGACAGTTGGGCGTTATCTCTTTTTCTTGCAGCCCTTAGAACCTATAGGGGAATGTTTTAACAAGCACAAGAAACGCTTTTATTTCAGAGTGCTTGTAACGATAATACGTAAAATCAGTAGCAGCCATTTCGGGGCAAGACAGAATCTAAGTAAATTAGCTTGTAGGTACACCACGCAAATATTGCACTGATGAAGGCTCGGGTTAACGGTATTCCTTTCGATTCTTATACGTGTCTGGTTAAAAAACCTGTTTGAATTACGTTTGAAGTTTTATTGAAAGCCATTTGAACATCCCAAGTGACGAATCTTGAAAATCATTCCACTTGCAATTTCGTCAATTTCATCAAAAGATTTAGATTTTAGAATATTATGTTTCGTAAGTATTAAATACTTACGTGGTGTACCTACAAGCTAATTTACTTATTGATGTCACTATGTAAACTTCCAAGAATATCATTAAGATAGAAGCTGTTACGTAATAAGCACAAAACGTGCTCTGCCCCTAGGTTTTGCTGACTCGCTCTTTTAACGCCGCCTCTACTTGGTTGTTAAAATTTTGTTTTTGGTTGTTAATCTTTTCTTTCCTTTTGAAGGATGTCACACCCTACGCCCACACCCACACTTCATACACACCTGATATGCGGCACTAAATTACTAAAAGCCACAGAAAACATTAAACATGGCGGATGTTCCAGGATGCATCCTGCAGTCGGAAATCGTTGAAAGCGAATTGACGCTTTTTGAAGAACTTATAAAAGGCGTAAAGGTGCGTGTTTGTTTTAAAATTTTATGACATTATAATAATGGAATATTTACCACATCAAACACAGTTTCGGGTTACGGGGAAGTGGCTTTTTGAATCAACATTTTCCAAGAAAATTTACATATCTTCAAAATTATTTCATTTCAGAAAAGTAAGCAACTATAGTCTACATCCTAGGCAAGTACTTTTAATTAAACCAGTCTTATTCGAAACCAGACCAGACAAAGGAGTGTCAGAAGGGACTGAAGGGAGTAATATAAATTATGGTGTATATATGTTCCTTGCAATATAAATGTATTTTTGACCAATGACAAAGCATTTTGACCAACGTTTTAAAATTTCAGTGAATTATTGGGGGATGTCAAATCCCACAAACCCTTTCATTGCCACACTCATAACATAGTCACTTTCCCCTTCTTCTTTCTCTTGAACTTTTATTGTTTCTGGCATTGGGGAGAATTTTTCCTGCTCCTAAGAGGCCCTTTACAGCATATGATTGTGAATAAAGAGCACTGTCACACTATTCGTAAATAGCATTATGTTTAATACATGCAGGCCTATATCACAAGTGTTGCAAAAGACATTGCAAAGTTTTGCATTGTTGTTTTTTGTCTGTCCCTGGAATGTCTATGCTCACATCTTTCAAGAGGTTTTAGTGATTGACTATTGATTCACATAATTGTTTTGAACAACCAGTAACAGAGGTTGTAGGTTTTTCAGGTTTTATTCACAAGTGGCCTATACACTTTAGTGCCGGCAAAGGAATAGGCTGAGGCTTAATTTTAAATTCCTAAAGAATTTTTTTAAATAAAAATCCACCAATGGTATTAAAAGTTATAGACCTGTAGTAATTTATTCAGCCTTACCCTGGACCCACAACTGGGAACACCCTGTTATTAATTTAACCATACTTTTAACATAATTATACTTTTGTGTAGTGGGATGAAAACTATTAATTAATGTTATTATTTAGCCTTACTGAATTTTAGTATAGTGAAAATTGAACCTTTTTGTAGATAAGAACAATTGGAAATCTTTTGTATTTTGAGCATTATGTGGAAAACTTTAGTAAATGAGCTATATGCCACTTGCAGTAGTAACTTTAAGTATCATATTTATGTTTCCTTTCTCCTTTTTCCTTTAAGGCCCTCGGTGTGGTGTAAGTGTGTAACTCTGCAAACTCATGTTATTAAACAAAAAGTTATCAGTTTCATGGGAAAATTGGTGCAGTATCCCATAAGTTTCATGGTAATAATATGGTACAGGCGAATCTTAGTTAAATACATCAATATGCAAGAATAAAATTTGATGCTATACTATTTACTTCATCATTGTGTGAGTACAGTGGAGTTGTTTTAAATAGACAAGCTCGTTTGTGCAGTGTTCTATCATGTTTGATTCTACCAATTGAATCTGAACTTCCCTTAATCTTTTATGTCATTAACCCCCAGCACATTAGATCAGGTAATGTCTGACTGTGAAAAATGAAGGTCAACACCTGCAGCTATTTGTCACCTAGACATGGATGAAATTTCTAGAACACTCAAATCTCTCTATGATCATCTCTAGGACCATGTCAAATAATTATTGCAGGTCTTATACAATTTAAACTTTTCTAATTCATTACAGTAATTATCACCATTTCATGCAAATTATGTTTACAAAATGGCTAAAAAGATACAACATAAAGCAAGTGCATGTAAATATACAATATTATGTATACATATGTCAGAATTATACAGTCTATTTAGTTTCTTATTTATTGGTACCTTGATTGGTACTATACGCTAAATACGTTTCAGTGAAAAGACTTAAAACTCACGCAAACCGACCACCTGGATACTAACATCCTCGGTTTACAAAATACATGGACAACAATCATGTTAACTGACATTATAATCTATTAATATAAACTGATGTCCTGCGGTTGTTTTGGCCGTTTGATGCATTCCGAAGGCGAATTAACAGAAGTTTGAGTGAATTCTGATGAGTTTAGTTTGATCTAAATAAACCTAAAGTAGATATCTTATAATCGATAATAATCATACCATCTTATTTGTCTCTAAATGATATCCAGATGAAAGATTTATTCCCCAACACTTTTGTCGCTCAGACCCGACACTGTCAAACTGATCAAGAGATTAATTTTTGGTATGTTAATTATGAGGTATATCTTGACCATATATGGTTCGAAGTTGGCAATCCAATCCAAAATTTCCTGTGCGTAAGTTTTTGTTTGGGTGCATATATTGTCTGGTAGAACCAAAAATGGTGGATTCGAACTTTATGTACAACTAAAATAGGGCAGGTTGAAGGTTCATTATTACGAGGATTCGAGTTCAAAATAAGCCTTGTAAAAGTGACGTCTGCACTGGGATTTAAGTGGCAAGCAGTGACCAGATTAAAACACGAAACTGTGCGCGTTTATATTTCAGCCTTATTAATTTAATAATTTATTGCTTATAGTTATGCATTTAGTCATATTGTCGAGTTGGTTGATGTAATAGAATTTTGCTATGTGCAAGAGTGTTGTCGATAATGACCGATTTTAATAAACACGATTCGCGAGAAAGGGCTTCAAAGATAATTAAAGACAAGATTTCTAGTAACCTGAACTTGGGCACTTGGCGATTCTATAAACATTGTCTGTGACATATTTTTAACTCAATTGCCATTGTACAAGTGTGAATCGTGCTTTGATAACTCGGTTCTATTAACTTTGGCACTTTGCTTATAGTTATACATTTAGTCATATTGGCGAGTTGGTTGTTGTAATAGAATTCTGCATGAGTGTTGTCGATAATGACCGATTTTAATACACCAAAAGCAAAGACAAAGACAAATTTAAACCCGCACTATTTCACATCGACAGAATTGGCGATTTATGGGTAAGGACTCCAAATGTCCTAAAACCTTGAAAAATGCGTGTACGAGATTTTTCGGATTACTGTCAACCCGGCATAAATTCTTAACGACAGCTAGTTGCCTTCGAAACTATAAATCGATTGGATTTATGTTGGTGCTGCACAGCTGGTAGCCATACACGTATGTGTTTCACCGCATTGAGCCCATTTAAGTATTTAAAACTGGTGCCTTAATTAATGTTATTACAGAAACTAAATCTAAGCTGCACAGAGATTTTACAATGGCCAATGTCCATGGGGCTGTGGCTTGGCAATAGGCGAGGTGCACTGCGCACCCATGACTAGTGCGGCGCCTATTCTTGACTAAATTGGATAATAGCATAGCAGGAATTCTAAAATAGAGTTTACTTCCGACAGGCTACTGTTGATTTTAATCAGAACCGCCCATGTCTAATATAGGGCAAAGATTCTCATGCATCATTATATAGAGAATTAGTATAGCTGCATAACTAGCTGCTTTTCACTGTCGCGTTTTTTGCACGTAAGTACACGCACTTAAAGGCTTAAAACCTTGTAAGTTGTTGTATAATGAATTCTATGCCGGAAAACACACCAAATCATCAACAGATTCCAACCCTATGCATCTATTCAATCGTTGATTTCATAAGTATCATTTAAACGATTTTAAACTTTTACGTGCGTATACGTAGGCTACGTACAAAAAACGCGACAGTGGAACGCAGCCCTAAGTGATAAAGAATGTACTCACTGCGCAATACTGGCTTTTTGAGAAATATTTTGAACTAGTGTTTACTCTAAAAACAAATGTTTTATTTGTGTTTTAGCATTAGTTACAATAAAGCAATTAATACTCCAGCAATTGACAAGGAACATAGACAGTTTCGATAATTCCCTTAAAATCTATACAAAATAAACCTCGATGCATATCACTACGATTTACGTCCATTTATTCCGTGTAGTGGAATGTTCCTGCGCCTTGTCCAAATCCGTAACCTTTAGCCCCGATTTCTTTGCTGTAGTGAGCCTTGCAGAAGAGTTGTCCTGAGAATAATGGAATATATATTATATGTCAGGATCGCAGTAAGCTCTTAGTGGGGTGTTTGTGTAACACACAGCTTTCCTCACGGCAACACACGCCGACACATTGATGATAAACAATATATATATCACTGCACTTATACTCATAGAGACCTTGAGATCGACGTTAACGACAAATCGCTAACCGCGGGAGCGGCAAACTTTAAATCACATTTGAAAGTAAACCCTGCAAGTTTTCGACAGCTTAGTTCACTTTTCATGCTTCATTTTCATTATCAAGATTTCTCAACTTCGAGATAGCTAATTGTTCAATGACGAACACGAGTTTTTGTTTGCTGTTCGCTCACTTCAAATTTTCTTCTAAAAATAATATTAGCGTGCATGTGTTTAAAAATCGAGTTAGGCGTGTGATGGCTTCTATTGTGTGTCTTCGTCCTTGCCATTGCATATAAGACTGCGGAAAGAACATGCAGAGCGCACTTCGATGCTTCGAGAAGGTTCAAAATTAATGTATTTAAAAAAAACTAAGGTCATATAGCAGGCATTGCGCATATTATAAAACAGCTCTACAACATTCTGTCGCGTAATCGGCACGTTAAACGTGAGATCGTTCAAGGGATCTTGAGGAATATATCGCTCAAAAACAACAGGAAGACCGCGAAAGCAAAGATCTAAAAAACATTGTTTTCACTACCAAATTCGCTGTGTTTTGCTCAAAAACTTTGAAAACGTCACTGCTACCATGACAACGGGAAGAGGTGTTATAAAATGACTGCATGTAAGTTATAACTTATGATGATTTGAAATTTGATTTCAAAAGACAAGTGCCGGATAGATCCAAGCAATATTATGGAAAGAATTCACATTTAAATTATTATTGTTTGCGTGGGTTTGAAAACAAGCGACAAGCATTGCATACGAACGTTGTTATAGTGTACTCGTTGGATGCCAGCTCTGCGTGATGCATGCCTGCTTCGTCTGAATGAAAATATATTAAGGCGTACTTAACGAGTTCAATTGAAATTGCTAATGTAATCTTCATATTTGCCATGAATGACAATACGCATAAATGCTTGAAATGGCAAAAAAAATATCACCAACAAAGCACCGGTCAAAGTAAACGTTATTCTGTCTGTGACATACAATAAACAAAACATGTGCTCATTGTTTTTTCAATTAAGCTTTTATGCGGACACAAACCGAAAATATACTCCATTATACGCATAGAATTTTGAGCAATTGTCTAGTACTATCTCATTTAGTTCAAAGGCACGCCTATTAATAGCTTATCAGCTTGCAGTTCATCTTATTTTCTCGAAGCCTTGGTTATATGTTTTCTACATTTCGACTTCGCGAATTATGATTCAATTTATTCTTTGCATATCTTGATTCGATTGACCGTGAACTATTTCATAAAAGCATTTTCATTCAAGATAACTGTTGCATATAAGCTCTTTTCATTTCTCGCGATTAACATCTGTGGACTGAAATATATATACAATTCGTGCGTCGAGCCCTAAAAATTTTCACTACGAAGCAAAGAAAAGGTTTATTCTTCAAAAGTGCCTTAGCAATTTGCAATGATAAATTGTCCCTGAGCTTCATCAAAGGAACAGACCATTAGACTAGCTGTTGTTTAGAACAGATGTTTTGACATTGTCATTTGATACACAATTATCACTATGAACAGCCTGAAGAGGAATGTTTATCCTATTGGGAAAATTCGCGATCGTTGGACAAAGTTAGTTCAGGCAAAATATTGTCTAAGCTTATATAAATATCTAAAATGATATTTGAATTACATTCAATTGAAGTTCAGATGACAGAACAGCTGTGCACCTAATAATAATGTTTGGTTCAGGCGTGGCCACAGCAGCGCAGCTCTTTTGAAAATCTGGTTATTCAACAGACAAGACTGAAGCAAAAAATTATTTAATTCTTATCGGTATTTGTATATTAGGACTTTAGACACATACAGGAAAGGGACAATAGCATAATAAACATTAAACACCCTGCACAGACTATCATGCGGTCATATTTGGATAACTATTCATACAAACCTTTATGTTCGTTAAATGTCACGCTATCTAGCCGTTTTTTACAAGTGCTACACTTCATGCATTGCTTGTGCCAAACTTCGCCATTCTTTCCACTAATCGCGGCCTTTTCTGCTGAGAAAACTGATTGATCGCAACTTGGACAGATTTCAGCCATTGTAATACAAAATCTGTTTACCTTAAAAAAATAAATATCGAACGAAAGGGTCAGCGTTTGAAGCTATACGTTTTCCTAATATCATACTATTGAACAGAAAATAGTAAATTTGAAATGCTTACTTCTGCTTCTTGCTTCTTCACGCTAAATGTGAGACCCTTGGCTTCGAGTGCTGTATTCCTCGTTGGTGTGGCGCATTAAATGTGCCCGTTGCCTGAAAAAACTCTCCTTTTCATACGCAGGCAACATTCCAAAGGATTTTGTTACATTCGCCATATATGGTATGGCATACACATTCTATTTCGGAAATGGCAAGGACGTAAATACCAAGATAAACCCAAATACAGACAAAATTTCGCTGCGGTATTGACAAATATGCCGAATTTTGAATTTATGAATTACGATGTACAAAATCATTCTTAGCCTGTAATTTGGTTAAGCGATTTCTTATTCGCTGTATAGCTTTGATCAATTTTCTTCCTAGTCTGCTGGAAATCTGGACTGTCATTTAAATTCACACCAGTGCGGAAGCGCCCTATTTATTATGATCATCAGAGCGCAAAGAAGTTGTGTAATTATAGAAACGAATGGAATGTCATTCGGTTCTGTTAAGATATGTATAAAAACAAGTAGCTTTGACTTGATACCTTGTACGTTAGGCTATTATAGACGTATAAACAAATGAGGCAAAAAAACAGATCAAATTCTTGCGTCTAAATGACGCATTCTTCATCGTCATGATAGAATGCGTATACAAAATTACAGTTATCCGAATGTTCGACTGTTCAATGATCGTTTGTGCATCCAGTCACAAGTTGGCCGCTATCCTGAACAAATTTACTGAACGCACATTAGAATAAACAAAATTATGCAATAACGAAAGGTAGCTTATATCATACACGTTCGAGAATTTTGACTCGCAAATATTTTATGATACTGTCATACGATATCATTCAACGGCATGGTCTACATCCAAGACCTTTTTCTGCAACCTCATTTGAAATTGATAAATATGTCGCGAATTCCCACTTTTAGACAGTTTAATATAGTAGCATAATTTGCGTCGAGTGGCGAATCATCTACCATGATGAACCGTCGAGTGGCAAAGGCGAACTAGAACATTGTTTGGCTGCGCAAGGTTGTCCTACGGCATCATCGATCGCCGCCATATGGAGTTTGTTATGTACATTTGGATCTCAAAAATATGTCAGTTTTATATCTAACAAACACAGACTTGGTCAGACATGTGTGCACTTGGTGTCAATAGCATGTTTATGTTAACGTAAAAGCTGTAGAAATATAACAAAGTTATTTTATGAGCACCTCTCACATACAGCCCCAATCAGAGATATGATCGTCATGTGTAATTGTGTATAAACCATCCTCGTACCCAGGCGCAAACATCAATATAGGTTCACTGCAGTGTTTTCATAAAGATCAGTTGGTTAGTGATCTCTATATTTCCAGCTGAAAGCGATCTTTTAGTCAATCGTCGACTACACTGGGAACTGGAACGCGATCTCTTTGTCAATTGTTGACTATAAAATCTTGATAAACACGGCAACTATTGATATGAATAAACATGGATTGCCCGTTGCAGTTGATCAGAATCCAAATCTATATACTTTCGCCGCCTTCTTGGTGCACCAGATTCGGCGTTAGGTTAGGTGGTAATGGCGAACGTACAAAGGTGATCCTACACCATGACGTCCTTATTAGACATGACGTTTCACACATGCATATATAGCCAATCAGGGGCTGTGAATTCAAGTGCCGTTTGTAACTTTAGCCGCGTTTACACTCCTGGGCCTAGACCTGGCCTGGACTAGGTATTGCACAAGTCTAGGTAATATGCACTGCGTTCACACTGTCTTCCTTGTTGATGATATGGGATAGCCAAAAAGACCCAAAACACGCCAAGTGGTAATGCTATATGTATCCAGTACAAATCATACTATATATTAATTAAGTTCAAAACTTGTCAGGACTCGGTAAAGCCTGTTCACATTGCCAAAATCTTGCCCCAGGTCAGGTCCTGGCCACCTTCTGCTGTTGGCCTGGATTTTGTGGCCTGGACCTGATCTGGGTCGGATAAAAAACGTTCACATCTAGACCTAGGCCTGGTCCAGGCCAGGTCAAAGCACGTAGGGTAAACGCGGCTTTAGATGGTCCTGACCAAAATTTAATCGTATTTTTTATTTTTTGGAAACGAAAAAATTGTCACACTCTTAACAACATGCCTCTGCAATTTAGAACACCGAAAAATATAGCTACAACAATGGAATTCGTGTTGGGTTTTTCATTCTCTGGGTAAAGTAATGTCTTTTCCCAGAGCCATCCAGGTATGAAAACAACCTCCGTCGCAGGGCACTTTCCAGAAAAGACCCTGGAACAAGTTACTCCCAAAGGCTCGTTGTTGAAAGGTGTTTAGCCGGTTAAACGACGATCTATTTATTGAACAATTTGCTGAAATAGTTCGATATAAATAATGGAGGACATATTTCTAAAGATGTAGGTTCAGTTATTCTGTTCAGTCTTCCAAAAAATTTTCAATCGCTGCCATTTTTTCGGCTGAGCGAAAAAAGAGGATTTATAAGAAAATGTAGGCCCGTTAAAAAAACTGAGCATAACGGCATATATTGCATTGTGTTTAAAAACAAAAAGCGCATTTTTACTTTTAAAATAGTACTTGAACTGTAACTAGCCGTGCTTATGGACATACGCCAATGTGTTTAGAAGTCTATAAAGAGTTAATAGTCCCTCGGTCGAAGTTAAAATTGATTTTCAGCGACATAGGCTGCAAAACAGGCCTTACTTGTCAAACGCAGAAAAGGGGGCACTCTTGATCAATTGAAAAATTTGGGGGGCACGTGCCTTCTGTGCTGTGCTACGCCCCTGGTTCTATTCTAACGAAAAGGCTGTTCTATTCTTTTTGCTTACGTCCTCTTCACTGAAGCGTGTATTGTTCATGCACAGTCCTCTTCTGCAACTTCGAACGAATTGCTGCAAATTCTACTGTAAAGCAATAAACGGCGTTGTCGGCAGCAGCTTGAATCGCGTTCCTATGCCGTATATTCTGAGGGGGAGCACTCTTACAAGAAATTTTTAAATTTGGGATACAGGAGATGCTATTCCCTTCGTTTTGTGGGTCGAGATTTTCAGTTTACAACAGTAGAAAATACATGTATGATATATTTGCATTATCTGAATTATGAAAACACAAGAATTGTTATTTCTTTTTCACGTAAAGAGGAGCGTACACCAACAACAGTGTAATTCTATTCCTGTACTATTTTACATACCCCATGACATTAACACTTGTAGCGAAATACTCACATATTGATGTTCATGCCTGTGCATGATCAATTTTTTTTTTAATCGATTGTCTTTACAGTATGAATATACGAATTTGTGCCTCCCCCCAACTATTGTGCTTCCTACTCCACTGTACTGAATGATATTGTAAATATTTTTTCCTTTTATCTTAAAAACGGACCCTCTCCTTCCCAGCCCCCTATGAAGGAACAAAATTTTGTTTGACACGACCAAAATGCGACGTAAAACCTAGGCTATTGGTCAGTGTTCCACTGACCAGCGATAGTTTTTAGGCAAAGAGACCTTTTACTTTCGTTTCAGAGCTGTCAACTCGCCCATCTGGAACAAATTGCTGAAATACAAACGAATACATACGCTTCGCGCAAGATATTTTTTGATGATGCGGCTTAATTTACCACTGGGCCAAAAATTTCATTCGTTCAAAAAATTCACCGTTTATAAGCCAACCTTTGTTGGATAGAACTTTAGTAAAATCATCCGCCGAGCACGAAAACAGTATTAAATTATTTGTGATAATTTTTGAAAATAAATTATTTTTGAATGAATGAATTATTTTTTCTTGCGACCCCTGTGTCAAACTGTTGTTCTACGATATCCTCGCATAGGGATAATTACATACATAAGATAGTATGACGTAACCGCATTGACCGGGGCTGCTATGGTATGACTGAACTATGATGCGCTGCACATGACCAAGTTGTTACCAATAATTTTACAACCTGTCATATATTCATGTTGAAGGTTGGGGCTGGAATTGGAGTTATGAGAAGCATGAAGCTTTTTGTACCTCTGGAAACACTCAAGCTGGTATACAGGGTGAGTAAAAAAAACCTGACACCTTTGAAAATCAAATTATAGCGGCTGTAATGTAACAGAAGTTGTTTAAAATATCTCATGGGTATACGAAGCATGTCACATTAATTAACCTAAAACATTAAGCTTGTTCCCTTTGGGAGTTAAAATGTATTCCAAGTTGCGTAAATAAAAAAGAACAGTTTTATCAAATCGTTTTTGTTGGTTGTACAGGGTGTATAAAAAAACCCGCAATATTAAGTGTAATATTCTAAAATTCATATTGTTCATAAGCTCAATAGATTTTATGCCCCTGGGATTTTAAAATGGCTTCTAATCGTACAGTTCAACTGCTAATGGTCAAATCAGCTAAACTTATAATGGTGCAGCTAACAACCGAACAACGAGTTTTTATTGTCGTGCATGATAACTTGAATGCTAACTGTCGACCTTGTAAAATAAATTGTAAATAAAATTTTACTCGTTAAATACTTTCAATTTAGCTCGTTGGTTTACGCACCCGACTTTGTTTACCGACGATTGTGCCGCTAGAATATGATTACAAGCTTTCTCGCATTCTAGGGGCCAAACGTCTTTTTGTGTTGTAGAACAAAGAGGATATTCATGAATATTAAGTGTTGCGTTTTTTTTGATACACCCTGTACATGGGAATTGTCATATTCCAGCCATAGGTTTGCGGCTAATTTGAATTTCAAAGGCGTCAGTTTTTTTGACTCACCCTTTACAGGGTGTCTCAAAAAAACGCAACCACTTAAATATGCAAGAATACTACCGTAGTACATATAGAATTAAAGTAATTCCGAAAAATGAAAGCATAATACAAATTTTATTCTGTATATTTCGAATCAAGATCGATTCATCTTCAGCAGAATGGTTTACAAGATTTGCGTAACTATCTTGTAAACCATTCTGCTGAAAATGAATCGATCTTGATTCGAAATATACAGAATAAAATTTGTATTATGCTTTCATTTTTCGGAATTACTTTAGTTCGGTTCGAGTTAACCCGAGTTGGTGTCAGATTACGTTCATTATATAAGTAATACAATAAGATATAAAATCCAATCGAATCATTCCTCAAGGGATACCAGGCCTCCCAATATGAATGGTCAGCGAGAGTGGACGACGTTTTAAAATTAAAAAGATCGAAAGAATACAAAAGGAACTAAAAAAGTTAGATCAATAACGACCGTAGCACCACACAAAATCTTTTAAAATTTATAAGCATTTATATAAATCATATACATTGTCATTGATTAACTTGTTGTTATTTTGATAGTTTCCAGTTGTCAAAATTCTATCTTCTCACATTTTAAAGTTTGCTGATCTGTGACAGTGGCGTAGCCAGAACGATAATTGGGGGGGGGCCAATATTCATATATTCGTGATACGCAGGTTTAATTTCTTTTCAAATCAATTGTCTTTTACAGTCTGTTAACACGAATATATGAATATGCCCCCCCCCCAATTATCGATACTGGCTACGCCACTGATCTGTGATTCGAAACCAAAATTCGAGTTAACCGAATATATTTGACCAAGGGGAAACAAAATTTGTTTGAATTAGCGAGGAGTTCGAGTTAAGCGAGTTCGAGTTAAGCGGAGTAAATTACAATAATAATATAAAACAATAATAAATAAAAAACACTATCAAATTCAAGGGGAATTGGATTTAGTTCGAGTTAGCGAGGAGTTCGAGTTAAGCGAGTTGGAGTTAGCGGGGGACTACTGTAATATTGTTCGAGTTTGCACCATAGTTCAGCTAAAATGACTTTTAGCATTTTAAATGAAGGATTAAGAGCCATTTTCAATTCCCAGAGGTGCTTATCTACAGTATTACGCTTTAGAGCTGTATTAACGTTCTTGCATATCTAAGTGGTTGCGTTTTTTTTGAGGCACCCTGTACAGGGTGTATAAAAAAAAACGCAACCACTTAATATTCATGAATATCCTCTTTGTTCTACAACACAAAAGACGTTTGGCCCCTGGAATGCGAGAAAGCTTGTAATCATATTCTAGCGGCACAATCGTCGGTAAACAAAGTCGGGTGGGTAAACCAACGAGCTGAATTGAAAGTATCTAACGAGTAAAATTTTATTTACAATTTATTTTACAAGGTCGACAGTTAGCATTCAAGTTATCATGCACGACAATAAAAACTCGTTGTTCGGTTGTTAGCTGCACCATTATTAGTTTAGCTGATTTGACTATTAGCAGTTGAACTGTACGATTAGAAGCCATTTTAAAATCCCAGGGGCATAAAATCTATTGAGCTTATGAACAATATGAATTTTAGAATATTAAGTGGTTGCGTTTTTTTTTATACACCCTGTATAATGCTCTGGTGCAACCGTATTTTGATTACTGTGGCCCCCTTTGGGACATTTGTGGAAGTGGCCTCAGCGATAAGCTACAGAGACTACAAAATCGCGCTGCGAAAGTTATAACAGGGCCTACTTTTGATATTTGATTTAATGATGTGCTGAATTATATTTGTTAGGTTGGGAGTCTCTAGACGTGAGAGGTAATAATATTAAATCGATTTACATGTATAAAATAAATCATACTGCTCTAAATCTAAAACATTTCGGCGATGCAATGAGGGCGATTCCCCCTATGATCTTCGAAATTGTGAAACGAATTTAATATTACCAAAACCTAAGAAAGAATTTCTGAAAAGAACTTTCAAATACAATGGAGCTTCCATTGGAATAATCCACCTTTTGAAGAAAAAACTGCCGATTCTATTCAATCATTTAAGCGGATAATAAAATCTATTTTGAGGTGAAGCTGACCTGTTCTCATTCTCATATCGTTCTTTATCTATTGCCTGTTCAAGTAAATTAGCTCGTAGGTACACGACGTAAGTATTTAATACATACAGTGGAGTATTTAATTTCAAAAAGAAAGAATGGTTAACGTGAATATATGAATATTTGCACCCCCCGCCTCCCCCATGGACACAACCAGCCCCTTATACAGACTAACTATATAGTTTTATATGACAATTTTTTATGACAAGTTTTAATTGGCAATTGCTGTGTGTATGCACGTATGTACAACAAATTTTCTAAGACAAATTCTTTCTTTGACAGTTTTATTTGCTCGTGTGAACGTGCCAACAAGTTTACTTTGACAATTTAGTTTGCAACCAGCGATGTAATCGTACAGTGGAAAACGTATAAGCGCCCTAACAGGCGCCATTTTTATAATTTCATTTCTGAATAATGTAATAACGTGAGGATTGTACTGTCATAATAACGTAATTCAGTCTTTTTCTTGTTTCTATCTCTATATGATTCCGAATTAATATTCTGTAAACTCTCTCTAAACTTGACCTGAGCAGTGCAGTGTTTTTATCGCCAAATCAGTGAGGGTAGAGCGCTAATGCTAGCTGCCACTGCAAAATACAATAGTCCGCTGGTCAAACTCATACAAGTGCTCACATTACTTTGACAAGTTTCTTTGTTTGCTCATACGCACGAGCGAAATTTGTACTTTGACAATTTTTTCTATGACAAGTACACTTGTTCAAAATCAAGAATACTTAATTTTGAACAAGTGTACTTTTCATTGAAAAAATTGTCAAAGTTAGGGCGTACAGACAAACAATTAAAACTTGTCACATAAAAACTTGTGATAGAAAACTTGCTCGTCTGTAAGAAGCTTTAGACATAATTGACAAAAAATATAAAATTGTCATATCATATAACTTGGGAAAGTGAAAGGTCTGAGGGAAAACACGGCACTCCGGGATGCTGCAAACTTGCAAAGAATATAAGCACACTGAAATATGTACTCATTACTTAATGTTATTAAGTATATAATGAATAACCATGAACATACGGGTATCATGAATTTTATTGTGTAAATAATTATTTATATAAATATATTTATATAAAGTGTGAAAACTGAAAAAAACTATTACTAAGATACATAATTTCTACTAAGATACACTGCAGTGGTCATAGAATTCCTATAAGAGCAAAAAAGTTAATAGCTAGAGAAGCATATAATTTTATTGGTTTTTACTGATTTGAATTAAACTACATAAAGTACAGCGTTGAGATATCATATCACTTTCAGCATTGAGATATATCACTATTCGGTGTACTGGAACGTTCCTGCGCCTTGACCAAATCCATAGCCACAGATTTTTAATTCCCGGCAGTAGTGTCGTTTACAGTACAGTACACCTGAATGAAAGTACACACATGGTAAGAGCGGTTTTAAAACCATTAGGCGGAATTTTACGCGGGAAGTGGAATTTTTTTTCATCATTGTTAAAATAGTTTTCATAAAGGCGGTTTTGCACTGCAGGCGGAATTTTCAATTTCGCGCGTGGAACGAAATTTTCATTGACTCAGGTGAACTAATGATTTTGATGGTAATTTTTTACTCTGAGTTACCAACCAGCCAAGCTGAAAAATTTGCTTCACGGGAACGGTGGGAAACGAACCCGCGACATTTTGTTTGGTGGTAGATAGCATAAAGTAGTAGCTACTACCACAATATTAAGTCACATGAGTCATACACACAGCACTATTAATTTAGTTGGAAGAATATTGGATGGACCTATAAAGAAAGTGGTTGGAGTTCGCTTCCCACCGCTTAAACTCCGGACTTTTTTTAGCCCGGTTGGTTACTGAGAGTGGCACTGCCAATATATATTCACTTAGCCTAGGTATAAACCTGGGTGATACTGATAAATTCATCCTAGGTTAGTATAGGACCAAAATATCACATGCTTCAACCGGCCTGACCTAGCATCTCAGCAGCGAGTCCCACCCTAGCTTTTCAAGCCAATTTTTTAGCTTTCCCGGTTGGTTACTCAGGGTCAGCACCATTACGATAATAAGTTTATAACTTGTTATATCTCGTTTGTTTTCTAGAAAAGTAAGAGACCACGCAAGCGCCAAAGGCAAGGGTATGCATTGGAAAATATCCTGAAATACTTGAAACAATCCTACAATCTTATGTCAATATTACAAATATTATACTGAATATACTCTTGTGTTCTTAAGCGAATTTTATATGCTTCATGTTAGACAAACTGTAAATATTCTAGATTAATAACTACTCGCGCCAACCGGGACCTCACGCGCACAGCACTGCATGTAGTTTTAGTTTTTTAGAGTCGCATGCATTAGCACTTTAATATATAGGCTCATTCGTTGATGAAATACAGATGTCAAAATGAGTAACTGAAAAGTGAGGATTCCGAACAAGTGCATGTGCATGCGTCAGATTGTCGAAACCAAAATAGCGACAGTAAAAAAGTTTAGATTAGTTATTTCTTAGTACCATGCAGGACCTGCAGCTAAAAATAAAGAAGTTACGATGTCCATGCATGCATTACTCGCATTACTGGTCCACAAATGGACGGCGGACCACTCGAGAGTACTAGTTTCTTCTAATTCCATAGCTATACATCCTGCTACGTAATAGATAAAAAAGTTACCGTCGTGTTCGTGGAAGTTCATGCTGTCTAGCGCTTTCTTGCATTCGCAGCATTTCAGGCACTTTTTGTGGTACACATCACCCTTCTTTCCAAACATTGCGGCCTTTTCCGCGGAGTAAACAACACTATCGCAACACGGACACACTTCAGACATTGTTTTACCTAAACAAAAATCCGGTTAAATAAAATATTGGACAGCAGGCAATGTCAAAATCACGGGTTCGGTGATTTTCCTTTGGGACCTAACATGGCTTCTTTGTTAGCATCCATGCACTAGGCTTGATGCAGAAGTTTTAAATATGTTTATTGTTACTCCGCCGGCACATCATATTAAAGACACTACATTGTCGACATCCCAAATGTATGTATTTGTTTACAAGCGTTTTGAAGAAACCGTTCTGCAATATATTTCAGAAGCTATATTGAACTCCTTTAGGTTTTGGTCTCGTTTAGCCTTTGGCTTTGAAACAGAACATCTCAGAAACCTATCGGGCAAACATGCCTCATTTAATTTACATTTATAGTTGCTTGTATGCATTCATGAAAAATTAAAATAATTTTGCACGCCGGCAAGCGGTCGCGTACGCCTCGTGTTTCGCGGTTAATATTTTGAATGCTATTAAAAAGCCGAACATCAGGGACATGTTTGTAGTTTGACCTATCGTTTTTTTTATAAGAAAAATCGTTCCGGTGGTTTTTAAGTGATTGTTTAAACGCGGATGTATTTTTTTATGACTACCATCTATTGTCCGTGTTTCAGTTGGTAATTTTTTAATCATAGGAAAATTCAAAACGAATCTGAAGTAATTTTATGAGATATTTTTCTAAATCTGTGGTTCTCCGTTCTCAAAATGTTTTAACGCATAGTGCGTCGGACAGCATTCTATAGAAGTAATTTATGGTGGCAATTACCACAAATCAGTTTATCCGGAATAAACCGCTCAATATTTTGGAGAAGATGCGAATGTGTGAATGTGGTTCGCATCTCACTTTCGCAGCCATGTGGGGTATAGGGTTCACTTTCGCATGCTGTATGTATGTATGGAGGCGTGTGCATAATGAAACCGAAACGACATTAGTAGACAAGCAACAGAGCCACCTGCTTCATCGTGGCAAGTCAGTTTGAAACAATGTGCAGAAAAAACAACTGATTGGCTTTCGATAAAATTTGGTGTGTTGAAATCTTTTGACTGCTAATTTAGACACATTCTGCGAACGCACAGATAAATATCACACATGTTCGTATGAAAACATATGAAATATGGTCCCTTGGTTAATATGTGCTGGAAAATAATACGATACAAATCTCTTCGGTGACTCTGCCAGACAAATGTTTCATCAGTAAATATTTTCACATCAAAATTTTCCCGGATTTTCTTCACAGATAGAACGAACCTATACATGCATGTATGCAGGCATGATAAATTTTCCGCTAACAGCCACTATAATCAGTTGCGTCAGAGTGAGCTTGCTTTAATACGTATGTTTGTGACAAAATCAAACGGACAGAAAGCGAAAAACATAAAACAGATGGTTCAATGAGCTATCAACAAAATGTTTATTGCCTTATTAGAACAGATTATGGGTATGCCATCTGTTCTGTTGAGTGACATGTTCTGTATCAGATATGCTATAACTAATCTTAGATTATCTCTAAAGGTATATCACGGAACGTATTATTATATTGTAATTCTACTTACCAGTGTATATTAGGAAAACAACACTTGCAAATTTTATAAGCGGCTTTGCTGCAACAGAAAGCTTGTGTTAATGCCTGACGACTGGTGAGTGAAGAGTGGAGCAGATTTCAACACCTTAAAAACGTTGGTATTTCAGTCAAGTCTGATGGACCAATCAAAATGCAATCTTGGTTACGCGAAACGCTTATCATTGGCCAGCATTTTTGGCTGGAATCTCACTTATTCAAATTGTTCATTTGTGTAAATTCTGTGTTACAATTCAAGAACATTTGCTGTGGAAAATTGTAATTTGGATTCCGATGTGCAAATATAATGTACTAAAGTTGAATCTTAAAGAATGAAATACGGGATTTTCTAAAAGCAAGTGAACGAATTGATTGCCACAAGTGAGGATACGCATGATACGAATTCCAGAGATATTCATAATGAATTCTGTTTCAACCCACAAATAGCCGTGTCATTTGGCATATCCATGACTTTGTTTAAATTCCTTTCCATACAAAAGGTTGAAGCAGGGTGCCATATAAACAGTCAAAAGACAAGGAAATCTGTAATATTTTTTGTCACTGTGTTTTAACCAATACAAATGCACTTTATCTGAGTGAATATGTATAAAATGTTCTTAATAGTTAATCTATTCATTGCCAAATTGTACTATACCGGTGAATAAAATCCATGCAACATTATCTAATTATGGCGTGTTGCTACATTTTACTGAAGCAATTTGACACATGCGGTGCTTCCTTCACTACACGTCGCCTTCTTTGTGATTGATCCTTATTGCCAAACAAACACAAAATTATTACAAGGAATCCAGAAAGAGCGCGGTTGTAATGTTTTTACTAAACTAGCCTCTGACACGTGGACCTACTTCTAGCATCGCATGGCCCATTTTTGACTCACGGATACTCCGTACCAGTATCAGGGAGTCATTGCTAACGGTCTCGCATTCTTTAGTGCCGTTAACTCGACCAACCTGCTTTGCGCGCTTAGTAGTAAAAACTTGTTTATCTGGAGATCTACCAGCCTACAATTAATCGGCTATTCGTGCATCCGTGAGTCGTCTCATTGAGACCGTTGATCTTCTTTACAATGCCGCTTGCCGCCGGAGTTTTCTCTTGGTGTTTAACTGCATGGTTTATGTCGGTTGTTTGGTTATGCACGTGAAATTTATAGCAGCAGAAATTTGTTTGTTTTCGGAACTGACAATCTTGGAAAATCATAAAAAGTACTTTGCCGTTGGCCTTGGCGAAATTTTTAGTCACGGCAGGCGAAAACAGAAAGTGGAGTACTGGAATGTTACTATATATTTGATAATTTGTTCTAATCTATGCCCATGAACCATAAATATACGGCGCAGTTTCTATTCAGTATAATGATGCATCGATGCAACCGGAGAGATTTTACCAGAGGACATAAATCGCCACTCAAATATCGCATTAATTATCAACACACTGAAAACAAGTAAAACTATTAAAATGCAATAAGAAATCTTGAAGCACGAGTTGTAAATGTGCCACATTCACGATCATGCAATTTGTGTAAAATATATATGCACCAATGGCTAAGTTATTCATTTTGGCGGCATTAAAATAAACAAATAATTAGAAGACGGTAATTAATGATCGACCAAATATTAGTGATAGACGAGCTCAAATACGCAGACACAAGTATGTCGTTAAACAATTAATGTAGACGATCAGCATGCTTGGGGAGCGTTGACGAAGCGTCTTAGAATGGGTGTTGAACTGTTTGAACCTGTGGTATACTTTTGTTCTGTATCAAGGTATGATATTTTATGCATAGTAATAAAATTTAGGGAAATTAACAGGGTTATAGGACTAATAGGAGCGATGTTCCTCGAAAAAACATTTGAGTCTAAACCGTCATGAGGACTGGCACGCGTCTGTCACAAGAATGATTGAATCCAGTGGCAGCCATTTTTAATGGTCTTGCACTTAAACTATAATTTGTTGTTGTGGAGATGTCTAAGGAGTAAGGAGATTCTAAACGTTTCCACGCAGTTGTTGATCAGCAATAGCGTAATAACTCTTTTTATTATATACACAAGCGCCAGATATGAGGTATGCTGCAATCTGATTGGTTGGCTACTAGACAGATATTAGCTCATATCTGTCTAGTAGAGAAAGTAAACAAAATGGCCGAAAGATTTGGGGAGTTGAGTGAATAGAAATCCAAGCTTTGGTTGATAATAGCTCACCAAAATGCACCGAAAGGGCGACAAAGTTTGTATATAATAAAACAGTTATTACGCGCCTCGTTGGCTATCAGCTCATATACGACTCGAGTTCGCAGAATAAATGACAGTTAAACTGGGAACAATCTTTGCAGATAAATGACTTTGAACACTTTGCAGATAAATGACTAACTGGGAACAATCAACATGGCCGCCAAAACCATCCTCATGTCCTGTAAAAAACGTACTATAGGAAAACATATTTGCTTTATTAGCCTGCTTTCCATTTATTCGTAATTGTCATTTTCAGCGATGAGAAATAGTGAGGAAGGATTTATTTCTGTATTCAAATCGATCATTGTTGACTGCGCATGAATAAAAATATTCTATCACATCAGTCATCAGCCACCTTGGCGTGTTCACGATACTCACGACCAAATGGGAACCAGGAAATAATGTACCGGTTTGGTAGATTTAGAGAGATTTAGCCTAGTTCGGGACATTTATAAATCTGACGTCATTAAAATAAACTAAATCCGAAATCCTATCATTGAATTGAATCATTCGGAGGCGTCACATCAGTGATCAAATATGCGAACCAAGCTAATCTTGTTCCCCGAGCCCGCGATTTCCTCTGGCGAGGAAACAAAGGCTCTGGGATAATCGAAAACAGAAATGATTTTGATTGGTCGTTCACGCTGTTGATGGGTTCAATAAGCGTTAGCGCGGCGTATATGTATATATACTTGCTCGCAGTGTCCGGGCGACAAGATAATTTTAATAGCTTATCCTATGACCAAAGGTGATATTTGCAATCTTGGAATTAAGATTTCAAACGGCCATCGTGAGAGCCAATTTAGCACCATACAATACAATTCCTAACGCCGTAAAATTTCATTTCTTTTCCGATTCATTTCTTTGTGAAAGTCTGGCGCGATATTTGTAACAATACAGCAGCTCTCTAAGAGGCATCCACCCCGGAAAAATTTTGAAACTTGAATCTCGCAAATACAACACACAGCGTAGTCAGTCGTATTTCTAAATCCAATATACTGATTTTTAAAAAACACATTCCAAAATATTCAAGTTTATTACGCAGAAAACAAACTTGAATATTTCACTGGTTTTACCGGCCACAAATTTTATGACTTGACGTATGGAAAAATAATGGGAGCTGCATGTGTGTAAAAATCGTTAAACGCCATATCTTTAAGGAGATAATTTACGGAGAGCCACGATAACAATGGTTTGTGTGACGTGTGTCGTTGAGAAAACTCGGCCAGAGGGACTCAGGACTGTTTCGCTTGCAAAACCTGTTTCTTGGGATTACTTTCCTTGGCAGTTCTATAACCGCGCCATGCTCACAGTTAATTTATTTTCTAATTTCTATATCGGTTCACTGGAATATACCTACTAAACAACGCTGGAATCCAGCAACCATCCGGTGGTCGAGAAGTCATCAAAAACTTGTTGATAACGTCACCGAACGAAAATTGCAACTGACAGACACGCTATCAAACTACTCGGGCTTCATAAACGAAAAACAATCACCTTCAACGAACGATGGTGCATAAAAGAGGCGATCGCAAAAATGGTGAATAGGAATTTTATGTTCAACACATGAAACTGCACTTGAAAAATTAGAAAAATTAACAAAGGAGCAAATGTGAAATAGAACGAAGCCTCACTTAGGAATAGCGAAAAGAAATGTAAATATAACCATAAATTTAGGAAAAAGAAGACAAACGAGATTAAACAAACCTAGTTGATAAACAACTGTTAATATGTATTATAATTATTAAAGGGAAAAAAGAGTTTAAACTGCGTTCGAAATAATCTCGGCAAGGTAACATTATTTTCTTTTCTCACTTACAAATATATGCGGATTTGTTCAAAACGAAATTCCTCTTTGTTGCTTCAGACCAATCTGCAATTTTTTTTACATTTTCAGAAACCCCACGCAATCAGAATGCATTGATATTGACTATTTCCAGTAAAGCGGCGCAATATTTACCATTTTAAATGGAGTATTAAAAATTTAGGCATTATAATTGGCTTGGCCTGAAAAATGTAAAAAAAATTGCGGATTAGTTAAAAACGAAACCCCTTCTTGTTGCCTGACCGTCAAAACAGAATTTTTAGCAGAATTTCATAAAATTTGATAAAAACCATACTTATATATTCGAACTCATTTTTCCACATTCTCACAGACAGGGCTGTTTAACTTGGGCAGTGCTTGTTTACCCAAAATCACATCAGCCAGTTTCTCAGCCATCATTATCGTCGGTGCGTTAAGATTGCCACTCACTATACTGGGCATGATTGACGAGTCAACCACCCGAAGTCCTTCTATTCCATATACACAACCACTAGGATTTACAACCGCCATAGGATCGTTTTCTGGACCCATCTTGCAAGTACCGCACGGGTGATACGACGTGTCTGCTTTTTTTCGCAGGAATTCATCAATGGCCGAATCACTCGTAACATCCACTCCTATAGTAATCACAAGATGTAAAATTCGAATTATATATAAGGGCTGTTCGGTTAGATTGAAAAAGTATGATTTCGGTTGTATGAGGGGACGAAAGGAGAAATAGCTATGTGAGAATACAAGCGGTAGCCGGTATGGCATACCATGGCCAATCTGCAGCACAGATACCGCTTGTATATTCTCATATATTTCGACCGGAGTTCCCAAAATAATTATAAAAAGGTATACTATAAGCGTGCATAGTTTACATTGCGTAAACTAAAAAGCATCAATTTTGTTCAAATCTTGAACGGCAATTATCTGTTTGAAGTCATGCGCACTTTTTTAAATGACTACATAAACAATTTAAGGGAGATTTTCTGAAACAAACTGTGCCGTGGAAAACAAACATG